TTCTCCATCCGAATCGCCTCTAACTGTATAAATACATCAACCCACTTAATAATAGACGCCTAGCTAATTCTCGCTAACTCGTCTATAGCTTCCTAAATCACTCTTTCTATAGCTTCATTGGGCTCTTCTTCTACCTACCTTATAGGGCCTCCTATCCCTATCCGGCCCTACCACGGTGGGCTCCCTAATGCACTACAACAAATCTAGCCTCTATAATCCGCTTAAATACGGCTACTACTACATACACTCTAACCACGGGTTTACCTCGTCCTCCTCTCCCTCTTAGATAGTGTCATAGGCCTTCTTCTCTACCTTTACCTATTACGCTGTAATCTTACTGCGAATCTACGTCCATAATACTTCGCCGCTAGCCGCTAGCTCCTACTATCTATCTTCTAGAATCTCTTCTAGCTAACGCACCTCGAAATACTGCGATCCGTGTTATTAAGAATGCCGTTACCTTCTCATTACTCCACTAGCTTGGGCCTCTCCATCAACCAACTTAGATAACGGCCGCTTTCTTATAGCTAAGTAGACCCAAAATTCTAGAAAACTATACCACTCGCGACTAGTAACTCGATACTCCGCCTTTCTCGCCTTAATATAGCCTAGTGCCTCCTCTAATCCCCGTACGTATATTATTCTAGCGATTTAGAAGATATAGTTTACCTAATTATTCACGTTACTATCGTCTATTCTATAGTTCCGTTTAAAACCGCCGCACTTAAAATAAACGCGTGATATTATAATTACGGCGTGCTAGTAGAAGGTAATATTTATAAATGTCTTTAAGTGCGTCTCTACTTCTCGCTTAAGCACCGCAGTTAGCTAGGAACTATCCTAGCTCTTCTAGCCTTTAGGCTATAGAAAGGGCGAAGGAGGATCCTTCTTACTAAAAGCTAGTAGCTCTAGCTTCTACTAAAATAGAAGGATTAGCTATAGGTAGTAAACGATAAGCTCGCTAACCTCCTTTAGTAGATAATAGTAGATGATCTTCGTAGAGCTAATAATGTTATAACCCTTATAGTATGCCGTCACTATACTAACTAGACCGTCTTTAATAAAGATACTCCGGTAGTATCTATAGATGGTGTTATAATACCGTAAGCTAAGAATCTCTATACCTCGAGCAGGCTACCCTAAAGTAAGGTGGATAAGAAGGAGGAGCCGTTTAAAAAAGCTATTAATCTAGGAGATATACTTCTTTACTACCGCGGGCTTCTAAATTACTTTTAAGTCCTTTTACCGCACTTCTAGGAACTCTACTTACAACTAATCACTCTTTAGCACCTAATTAAGCAACTACTATTTACTATTAGACAAGATGCTTTCATTACGGGGTTCCTAAAGAAAGCTCCACCCTTTAGTATTTTAAGTTAAATCGTCCTTAAGGTCGTGTAGCTAGAAAGTTGGTATTACATCTTCCTGCTCTTCCTCTTAGTATAAAAAAAAAAGCTCTTCTAGTTATAACTACGCTAGCTCTACCTACGTGCGAATAAAGTCCTTAAAGTGGGCTATCGTTATTTTAAGCTTCTTATATATTAGCTTCTTATAGTCGTCCGACTAGTAGATGTAACCTAGACTAGTGGTAGTGTTCCGGATCTTTTTACTATAGGCTTATAGTCGGAGCACCTAGTTAAAGGGCAACCGGCTCCTGTAGATTATAAACTAGTCCCTTATCTCGTCTAAAACGTCCGCTAGATAGTTAATCTCCCTATCTTCTACTATTATTACCGCCCTTTAGATAATAAGCATTTATACTATCTTAATAAAGGCTGATAGATATCCCGTATATGAGTATACATCCCTAAAGATCTTCTTCTCTAGATCCACTCCTAGCACGGCTAAAAACCTAATAATAACGCTCTTAAAGAGATCACCTTTTAGAGTATAGTCTAGTAGCGAGATGTAGAATAAGAGGTATACATAGTCTAGCTAGGACTAGATCTCCTTATAAAGTATATTCTACCCCTCCTAATACTTCTCTAACCCTTACTTCTCTTTATTTCTTAAGGCTAGTAGCTCCTCTCCGTACCCTATTATCTAGTCGAGGTGGGTAAGCTATATGGTAGTTAACTAGTGCGATAGGGTAACACGCTACGCTAGCTAAATAGTGCGGTACGCGAAGCAGATTAGCCGTTGCTAAACTAGCTTATAGCCTTAGTACATCAACTTCTTAAGCTTAATTATTAATAGCCGGTCCTAAGCTCTTCTATACTAGATAAAGCTATTAATCCGCGCCTAGTTGAACATGTTCACTTTATCGTTATATACGGACTTATGCGATTCCTCGATAATCCGGTTAAGGCTTTAGGTAAACTCCGCTAGTAAGAACTTAATCGCGGGATCGGCTAGAGATCCTAAGGGAGCAACCTTATTAAACCTATAACCTTAAAGGTACTAAGGCCATCGTGTTATCTTAAGCTATAGGGACACTTCTATTTAAGCGGTGTTATCTAAAATAAGGTTCTCTAACGCATCTACTTCTTATAAGCCCTCCTCTAGCATCCTATTAACTTAGGCTATTATAAAGTCTGCCTTAGGGAGTGCCTACGCTATCTCGCGGCGCTGCCGGGCATCTTTCTCCTCCTAGAGCTAAGCTAGCGAGACGACGGCGAAGAATCCGCTACTAGGGCTACTAATAAAGAAACGCTAGCATGCCACCTTCTTCTAACGCGGCGGAGCGGCTATAAGAGCCTTAGGTTGCCCACCTCTACAACGTCTTCCTAAGACATGCTTCTCTTAATAATATTTATGTATAAAAACCTCCGTACGCGCGACATATAAACACTATAGGTAAGTAAGGCTATTATAAATTAGAAGGAAAGGGATAGTAAGCGAGTTAGGCGCTAGAACTAGGAAAAGAGTGTGTTTAGGATTAAGTAGCGGCTTCCGCCTAAGCTCCATCACTAAAAGATACACTTTCTGTTTAGAATTAAGCTTTAGGTGGTCGGCATAACGCGTCTTTAGGTGGTTTTTATAGTAGTTAGGGTTAACAGCAAAACCGCAGGTGATATAAACCCATACTTAATAATCCTCTAAGTATTAAAGGAGATCCATTACGCACGAAACTTCTGTAAATAAGGCGGAAAATAGGAAAATCACTATGATTAAAGAAAGTAGTACGCAGCAAGACGCGTTCGCGTCCGCGTAGAACCAAAACATGTGAAACACATAACGCTAACTACTAACATGTAGGTGATTTAAAGTCTCCGGAGGCTAGCTCCTAGCAGGAAACAGACATTTCCGATAGGCCTAATGGGGTTAATGGGGCGCAATAGGATTGATGGAGGTGTATATAGATGTTTAAGGTTACGAAGGGGGCAGCCGGGGGCTAAAGGCTGGAAGATTAAGTGAGCGAATCAAGGGTCGGAATGAATGGGGTGTGGGCTGGGTTGATTCGCGCATGTATCTCTAGGATACGTATGAATCGAGAGTTGGCCGAAACTGCACCTCGTTAGTTTTGATGTTGAAATATTGTACGGGTCGGGTCCATCGATGAAGATCTCGGAGGATATGTGTTCTGGGGCAGCTGATACTGTACGTCGTTAGTTTTGATATTGAAGTGGCGGGAGCTTGAAGCTCTTGTAGTCCACGATTGATTTCAGAGTGTCCTTTTCCTCCGGTTACGGCGTCCTTTTCTCAGAGATTTCTTCTCTTCCTTCAAAGTGTCGTTCTCGTCTTTCAGGGTGTCCTTTTCCTCGGTCACGGCGTCCTTTTCCGCGGTCACGGTGTCAAGCCTTTCTTTCAGATCGTCGGTTGCCTCGGTCAGACCCTGGTTATCTTGTTTAGCGCGGTCGAGCTCCTGTAAGAGCTCTTTCCGCTCTCGCTCTTTCGTCGGTCCTTGATGGTGTTTCCAGCGAAATGTTCCTCAAAGGTCGGCCTCTGGGTAGGTTGGTCATTCAGGTGATCGTGCTGCGGCGTATCGGGTCCGATGCCATTGTCCCCATACTCGACGGGAGCGCTGTAGTCACCACACTCTGATCGAGACCTCGCAGGTGCTCTGCTCCGAAGGCAATCACGCAGGGAAGGGCCGTTGAGAGGAAAGAGGCGAGAGATAGTTTGAGGGGGCCTTCAGCTGTCGAGTCGTAAGATGTTCTACTCCAGTCTTCCAGATATGGTGATGGCACGCGGCCGAATGGCTGAGGAGGATGTGGAGGCTCACTACCGTCAGACTCCGAGAAACGATTGAGGGCATAAACAATGCCGGTAGCGCTCGTACCGTGCGACGATGACATCGCTGCATCAGACAAGGGCACAGGATCCGGGATCTGGGGCACCCCGCAAGCTGACAGTCGAATCAAGCAAGGGCTGGAAGTCACTGACCAAACGAGACAAGAGAGTGGTTTGCGGTATCTCGGGCCGGCGGACGAGACTGGAGGAACTTCGCTCAAGCTGGAATGCTGTCGGTGCCGCCGGTGGGTGAGCGGTAAATCCATACGAATTTTTGGTCTGGCTTGAGGTCCAGCTGAACAATAACTCAGCTCAAGCGTCATGCAATTCTTAGAGTGTGCTGCCGTCCCCACCGCCTCTCCCCACGCACGGATGATTGCTATTCAGCCTTTTCTTGGCGTTCCGCCCGCCAAGCTGTCGCTAACCCAACTGAGAATGGGCAGAAGTGCTTAAGGTGAGATCCTGAACCTCACATTTTCAGCTATAGCATGTTCCAGACATTCGTAATCTTTGGCTTGAGCGGGCACGTATCAAACGCGAGGGATTATAGGGAAACTCTAGGCATCATTATTCTTACGGCCGTTATTCCTGAGCCAAGGCGATGTACGTTCATGGTGCTCTAAGCTAAAACTCAGCTGAACTACGCCGCTTTTTTGTCTCTTCTGCTTTATAGCAAAACAAGCCAGACTTCACAAGGCATATATACCTCACGGTAGACCACTTGATCTTCCCGATAAATCTATCCCGACTCACTACATTTCCGGAGACTACTTTACAGAGACCAAGTGGAAGACTTCTGAATTCTTCTCAACACACATTAAGATACTATGGCTGCTCCACTTCAGTATGAACAACTTGTGGAAAAGTACAAGGAGGACTCATCTACAAAAGTTCTGGATGCGGGCGACAAAAAGCCCATCCAAGTCGGACTCCTAGATGTCGTGATCGACAACAAGTACAAACCCCAGCTCGTCCGCGAGAACGGCCGATTGAAAGTCGTCGTTGAAGCTGATGCAAACGGCATTAAGATCGAACACCCTTTCCCGAATCCTAAGGTCGTTCTTCTTGGCGCCGCACAGATCAAGCAACGTGACACCACCGTTGAAGCAACAGCCTTTCGTCCTCAGGGCACCCCAACTAGTTTCCCGCCATCAAAGGACGATACAGCTCAGGACAGGACTCGAAATATACCCACAGTTATCTTTGGGCCGGACGACCGCGTCGTCTTCCACGACACTTCCTTTCCCTGGCGCCTTTGTGGCAAGGTTCAAACTGCTGTAGCACGTGGGTCTGGATGTATGATTGGCCCCCGCCACGTCCTCACGGCAAGCCACTGCGTGAACTGGGCCGCGGACGGCAGCGCGGGGTGGATTAACTTCACGCCTGGGTACTACGACGGATCAGGACCGTGGGGCACGTTTGCGGCGACCACAGTCTACGCATACGTAAAGAATATCGGCGCTCTCCTCGACAAGCAGACTGCATTTGATTATGCCGTTCTCGTGCTCGATAAGCGGATCGGAGACACAATTGGCTGGGCAGGTAGGCGTGTGTTTGACGATTCGTGGGTCAACACTGCGCAGTGGGCCTTCATTGGATATCCCGGCGACCTCACCGGCACCGAGCGGCCGGCTTTTCAGGGCAAGGTTGTTGTTACCAGCAACAACCCGAATTTCACGCTAAATGGACGAAGCGGTGGACGAAGCGGCTCTGTGCTTGGTCACTTCAGTGATATCACTAGAGGCATGTCAGGTGGGCCACTCTGGGGTACGTGGACGGGCGAGGAGGGGCCGAGAGTCGTTGGAGTGTGCAGCACTAGGGATGGGCCGCCGATTGCAGTTCCAGATGGATCAACGAATCAGGATAACGAATTTGGTGGGGGCCAGGCGTTGGTTGATTTGATCATCGAGGCGACGACTGAAGCTCCATAGTCGGATAAGGAGAATTCGTAGCCTATATTTCTTCATTCCGTCTTCAGCAAAGCTTGATTTTCAAGTCGTAACTGCGAAGGAAAAGCACCGCTAGTTGCGTTACTCTTACTCCACGTCTTGTCCACTATTAACTGGTGACTCTCTATTAACATGAGTGACTATTACTGTTGGGCGATATTACTAGCTCGATTGATAGCTGCTAGAGTGCTATCTAAGTTATATAAGGCCATCCCCTGTCTCTCCACCTGGTAGTATCCCTAGTCCATCCGTGTGTCCGCTCCCTGCCAGATCCGCTTCTCAGCCCCCTCACAATGCCCAGCTTGCGGCCCGAACGTGTTTGGCTCCCTCCTGACTGATCTCTCTGCCCCTGAAAGGTGTCCCTCCCCTTCCTAAATGCCGTTCTGCCCCACAGCGTGCCCACCTCATCGCCGGCCGTGATGGGTAGCGTTGTCGGCGCTGTACTCCGAGCGCAAACGTCCTCGGAGCAATCTATCCTTCGCCGACCGCCGTGACAATAATCGATCGCGTTCGGAGGGATGAGGTTGCCGGAGTGGCTGAGGACGCGTTTGCGTTCGGCGTGCATAAGAAGTGCAAGAAAGGAGTCGCAAGCCGTCTCGCTGACCATGCGACACCTGCTCCTGTCAGCCCGTCGTCATCCAACGTGGTCCTGAACGTTGATCTCCTTACCTAGAGGCCTCTCTCCAGGGTCTAGCCCGGCTCTGACTGTCGTTCGGATCGCCTGCTGCAGTTCTCCCGAGCAGCGTCGATGCCGGATGGGCTCGCCCGAGGAGGTTGCGCTGACACCATAGCATGTGGTGCCAGAAGGCGTCGCAAAGACGAAACCTCGTGCAAACCACGATGAACATCGTCCAGCAGTAGTCCAGTCTCCGCCGAGCAGCTGGTGCAAAGAAGGCGGCCGCCGTACGAGAGTGGAGGAAGTGAACGGTAAAGACGCGCACCAGTAATCGTTCCTGTGAAGCGACTATCCAGTCCTCCCGGAACTAGTCTGTGAAGACCTCCAGGCCCAGCTCGACGTCGGCGTTCTCGCTTTCGGAAGGAAAAAGGGCAGTCAATTCGCTGTCCCTCCCCACGGACCGCGAGCTCCTGGTTCTCGACGCAATGTCAGTAAGGGGCGCAATCGGTCCAGGTCGCTCCTCTCACCCTCAGATCCTTTTCCAAACCCCTTCACCAAGGCCTGTCTGCAGCGTATCCGCTCCTTAGTAACCGAGCAGAAACTGCCAGCTGTGAAGGGCGATCGTGATTCTTGATGCCGTCGAGACCGTGCGAGAGCATCAGACCCATACCAGAGAGCTCGCGCTGGAACACGAGGTGGCCTGGTAACCGCAAGAGCGTTGCTTGATGCTACCGAGCGGATCTCATGTCGCCCCTGCCACCGAAGGTGAGGACTTTCGAAGGTATCATTGAGTTGCCGCGACTGCCAGAGTCAGCGGGCTGAATCCAGTTGAATCGAGCTGAGTGATAGCCAAGCAAGAACAGTGCGCGAGAGGATTACCAAACAAGGCCTAACCCCGGCGCAAGACGCCTTTCGTCGATTGCAGCCTCTGCGTATTCGGGCTCGGCGGCAGAGCGCAGGCGGACATTGTGTCCTAACCGGAGCGAAACAGTTGACAGCGTCTCGTAGGTATCAAGGCTCTCAGCCAGGTCGTGGAGTTGGCCTTGTGCTTGCCCAGCATGCTTCGTCGGATGGCAAAAATGACGCCGATGCGCAGCGGGATCCGAGTCTCCTTTCTATCATAGCAAGCATCTGCAGCTTCTCGACCGCTTCCTCGTCTAAGCCTCTTCATCTTCCATGGCAGCCGTCCGTCAGCGTACGTTCAAGTCTCCAATTCACTGTCTGCTTGACCGGGGACCAAATTGAGCTTCGGCATCGCTGCTGTTAACCTCGATCAGCATCCTATCACTAGAAAGCAGCAGGAACGGAGGCCTACAGCGTTGCGCCGAGCGCAATGGGACTTCTAGACGTGGTGAGAAGCCGGCAGCAGTCTGTCACTGCGTCGAAACCGGGGGGAGCTGGAGGAAGGGTGTTGCTCTAAAGGACGCGGCTTGATGGTGCGAAAGCGGGCTGATGAAGACGAGCGCAGGCGCAAGCGGAGACGATGACAAGACAGAGCTGATTGACTGATGGTGAGAAGAAACAGTCGACAGTGGTTTGGTGTTGTCGTGTGTAAGGCGGGTACGGGTGGGAAGCGGATACCAGTTTTGCGACATCGCGCCTGATACCATCAAGATCCGGGAACAGCCAAGCTGGATGCTACTGAGGATTGACGCTGTCTGAGCCGCTTTCAGGCGCAAGGGGAAAATCTTGTAGCGTACTGCTGGAAAAACCATCTTTGAAGCAGCTAGTTAGAGTGACATGACAGAGCTGGCCCGATGCTCAAGCTCATCGTAAAATGCAAGCAACCCAGAGTCAGTCTCCTCGAAGTCAGCAATGAAAGCACCACAAAGCCAGTGGATGTGAACGAAACAACACGCCCCCTCCTCCTCCCCCCTGCCCTCAATCGCGGATCTTCCGTGGCCCGCCAAGGCACCGTCTGCGTCTTCCTCCTCGAGCCGTTTCCTCTGCCGTTCAGAACGGGCTTCGGCCTTGAGCGACTCGATCTCCGACCGATACCAAGCGACTGCGGATTCCGCTACTGTCCACTGGGCTCGCATCAGGGTGACGAAGTTCTTATACTCAACTTCGAGGATCTCCAAGTCCTGAAGTGCCTCATCACGAGCTGCCGTGATTTCCGCAAGCTAATCCTCAAGTTGCTCAACATTAGTTTGGAGCTGAGATTGAGCGTCCGCGAGTCGTGTGGTTAAGTCTGCCTTCTCGTTGGTAAGCCCTGCGATCTGAGTGTCGGCTTTGCTCAGCTGAGCCCTGGAAGACTCGCAACGGTTCTCCAGGTCCAAGATCTGCGCATTGACTGCATCCAGCTTGGTCTTGGTGGCCTCGCGCGCAGTCGCAGCCTCGGCCTTCCCCTTTTCTAGCTCAGAGTGCTGGAGCTTGACGTTCTCCAGTTCGGTTTTGGCTGCATCGAGCTCGGTTTGCAGCTCAGACTTCTGGAAGGTGGTCTTGTTCAACTCAGTCTTGGCTCTGTCGAGTTTGGCCTGGAGGTCCAACTTCTCGGAGTTGGTCGTGTCAAGTGCAGTCTTGACTCCGTTGAATAGGGTCTGCAGCTCAGTCTTCTCCGCTCTGAGCAATTCTAGCTTACCGCCGGTGGTCTCGCATTCTTCGCGAAGGTCCGCTTCTGCCATAGTGAGCTCTGAGATGCGGTCGTCAAGCTGGGCAACCTGATCCTCAATGCCCTCGCCTTTTGTCTGCAGCTCAGAAATTCGGGGAGCAGCACGCGATTCAGTTCCATTCCGCGTCAACTGCATATTCTCCCTCGAGCGCGACATCCTTTCCTCCTGTTGCACGTTGACAGTCCAAAGCTCACGTCAGGAAAGCAAGCTAACAGCAGGCCGTTGCTGAGTTCGGAGCGGGCGGTAAAGGTCGCCAGCAAGCTGACGCCGGTATGCGCTGCTGATGTGGATCTTGGATATGTAACAGTGTTATGGTGATAAGCTCGGGAGAGATGACCCCGAGAGAAGTTAACCGCACACAGGCTGTTACAATAGCGGCGGAACTGGCAGGTTGAGAGGTTCAGGTTGCTCAGACAATGCTGTCCGTGGCCGAAGATAAGGCGGGTGCACGTGAGATTGTGTTGGAGACCGAAGGGGGCGAAATCCGACGAACTTCGCCACTGGTAAATGATGGTACGTCACCGCTACCTCAACGACCCGTCACACGGCCGCCAAAATCTTGCGAGCGGAGATAGCTGCGGTCGCACACAATCAGCCCCATCATCTGCCTTTAACCATCCTCATTCCCCGCGACAGGAAAACTCTTGTCAGCTCGCTCTTACCTGTCCTTCGATCTTAGCACCTTTCAAGCTCACCCAAAGTAATCCGCGGCAGCAGCAAGCTGTCAGCTTTTCAACCCGATCCCCTCTGGTAAGTGTAAGATTTGACTGAGACGAAATGAGTAGACGACTGAGATTTGGGCACAGGACTAAACAGCTTGCACCTAGAAGGCCGCAGCAAGCAATGGCCCCGGCCAGGTAACAACTAATGAGATGTTTGAATGCACTTGGCGCACAGCACTCACTGCCACTATAGTGACAACGAAGCAGCATAACCTCCGCCAGCTCAAGATTCAGCTGCGCAATCCGTGGCACGTCAGGCTCCAGCGGATCAAAGCTCGGTGCAGCAAGCTGCGATTCAGCAAGGTTTGGATCAGTAGTCTACAGCTTCTCAGGCTCTTATGGCGCAGATTAGACCTCTACCTGCTTCGGGAATTCAAACCGGGCCCACTTCCACGACGCGGTAAGCTTTCTCACCTTACAATCGGTCACCATTTCCTGATTCGCTGACTGAGTACCAGAAATGCCATCACCCATCCTGAAGCCGTCGAAATGCTTAGGGAATGTCATGCCAACGCCGCGACTTGGATAAAAGACTTAGATATCTCCAAGCGCAGGGCCGTAACAGACCACAAACGCTACGAGGAGCTCGACGCCGAGATCGACCGCCTAAAGAAAGAGAACGCCGACCTAACGGATGAACTGACCCGCCCGAAGGAACGGTTGTAGATGGCAGTTTCTCTGCTCGGGTCGATCACAAGATAAAGCACATCACACTTAAAGTATACTAGAAACTGCCTGGCTGGACGTGGTGTTGCTGCCGGTGGGTATCTGCGGTTCTGTGTTCTCTAGCGATCTTCTCTTCTCTGGTGGCCTTCTATTCTCTGGTGGTCTCTATCGAGTGATGGTGTGGGTTTCTTCTGGGTGATGCGGTGGATTGCTTCTGGGTGATGCGAGGATTGCGGATGACGGACAAAAATGGGTTGCTTTACCAATTGATGCGATGGATAATTCACTGGGAGTATGTGGCTTGTACACTATGTCTCGATACAATGGCAGCTTCCAAGGTTGATTTCTCTTGTGATCGCATGTCTCCGTTGCTGAAGGTGGTGGACGATCGGCTTCCCTAATACGGTAGCGCGTACGCCGAGCTCAGACCGAGGCATCCTTACTCAGTCTGACTGCCCAGGTGCGAGGCCTTGAGAACGTACGAGGCCTGATCGAAAAAGGTCAAGCAGTGTCGAATTCGTATGACAGAGACTAACAAACTGAACATGCCGCACTTGCAGCAGCGCGATAAAGGCTTAATGTGCTCCAGCTTCTAAAATCCCAACGAAATTATAAGGTTCACTACTTGGCGATTAATCGTAAGAGAGCCACAGCGCACAACTTGCTCAACCGCGCCTTGGTACGGCTGGGCCAGGCGATGCAGTACGCTAACTGCAAAGATATGTGCTTACAATTCTATAAACACCTCCAACTACTCGCCTGCGTAGGATCACCCGTGCCCGAGTAAACGTTACGTGTCGGGTACTTGCAATGCGCGCGCCGCAACGCGACGCCCAGACCCGCCGTGTTATTCATAAACTTGGTCCCGACGATCCTCTCCGGCGCCGTCCCGTTCTCCACCCAGCGCACCATGGCCGTTAGAATACTCCCCTCCGGATCTAGCGTCGCATTACCGCTGCTCTGCCTAATAGCCCACGCGCCAGGCCCGCCCCTATAGTGCTCTATACCCGAGATGCGGAAGTAGCGGTAAAACCCATTAAGCGCCTTAGAAGGCAAGTTTATAGTCCGCGAGACGTGACTATAATACCGCGCTAAGTTATTGCTCGAGATAATGCTGTCCATGAGCCCGTGATACTGTAGCAGCTTGCCGCCTCTGTCCCTAAACGCAGTAAGGTCGCCCTCCCACGTCTTGATGCCGCCTGGGTTAATGCGCGCGGCGTTCGCGTAGTCGGTTGCGTTTAGTGTGGCTAGGTCCTAGGACGGGTCGTTGTAGACGGCGTAGCGGAACTAGTCGGTCGTGTAAGGGAAGGGCCGGCCCGTGTAGATGAGGCGCTGCACTAAGAGCTCGCTGCTAGGCTGCATGCGCGGGTAGACGAGGGCGCCGTCGAGGCCGTAAAGCGGGGAGAAGATCTCGCGGACGACGTTTGCTTGGACGCCGGTGAGGCAGTTTGTAAAGTTACCGGGCGTGTAGATTAGCGCCTCCGGGTGGTACTAGCAGAGGTCTGGGTCTTTAAGGATGCTATTAGTATAGCCGTTAATGCCGTCGCATTAGTCGAGGATGGATTAATATATAATAGGCCATAACGCCAGCGGGACGAAAGTGCTGGTATTGTTGTTTCTAAGGAGCGTGTAGAATGTCCGCTCTAAGAGGTTAGGTTATTCAAAGAGTTCGCTGGGGCTCCGGCCACGACTCCGTCAAAGCCTTTAGGGAAGTCCTGCACCTCTTTCAGGCCTTACTAGCCGCCAGTCGAGCAGCCTAGATAGTAAGACTTGGTGTGCGGAGCGCCGTAGAAGGCTTGGCTTGTCTATTTACCGACGACGACGCCGGTGTGCACTCTGAGGGGGTTGCTACTACATTACGCGATAGTCGAACGTGTTGGGGCGTATCTCACGATCTCCATGCAAAGTCTTCTACAGAGCCTGGGTTGTTGTAGAATGCGTGTCCAGTAGTGCCATTATGTCCCTTGATTGGTGTTAATTGATGGCCCCACAGCATGATATGCCAAACGTACATTGTTTCCGGAAACGGTCGCGAAGCCAAGGCCGCTGGTGTATGCTATATCTTTATATTGGATGCCTGTAGAATAAGTGTGTTAGTGCTTATGTTCAGGCTAGATCGAGAGTGGCCTGCTGTATTAGAGGATAGGAGCATTCACTCACAGCCGCCCAACCCTCTATTACCCGTACTCAGAAATCTGCCAGTCCAGTCCCGCGGAAGCCATATCTCTACGCTTATACTAGACCTATCGGATGTCGCGACATACAGCGATACGCGGTAAATATCCTTCGGAATGACTTAGTACGGACGGGCACATGTCACATTATTGTTAGGGAAAGTTAGGTCTGTGCCGGCTGGAACATATTGCGAGAACCACACCGTGCCGTTGCTAATGTCGAGCTGCGAGGCAATTCCACGACATTTGTCTTCGAAGCTGTTGGTGGCGAGCGCAAGGCTTGCGGCGCAAGATGCCACAAGGGCCTGGATGATGCCAATTCGCATCGCTGAGCTGCTGGGTTGTGCTTTACGGGCCAGCTGGGGCTTTGTACGCCAGAGTGGACAGCGCTCCGCTCTTATATGGCAGAATGTCCATCACCAAGTAACGGCGAGCATTCTCCCGCACCGACAGGGCGTTCGCCAGACTTGCGGAGATACATGAGGATGAGGACTTTGCCGTTCGGACGCTATCCCGCAGTGCAGGCGGGGTTCATGCAGGATACTATACAATCGACTTGGGCCTACATCGAGGCTTAGAGACGGCAGCAGGTCAATATTGACCCGCAACGACCGGCATTGAATAACGGGAGTTGTGTGGTTGGTAGCTACGAGCAGTTGGAGGCTCTGGTGGCAGCGAAGCGGCTGTCAGGTACGGCTCATCGAGGCGTTGTACTCGAGTAAGGTTCCCTCATTTCCCCACACCGCTGTGTGTCATGAACCCTGCTCCGCATCATCGGCCCGCTAGCATGGGTCTGGACCGCGAGAAAGCTCGCTTTACTATAATTTACCATGACGTCCCAGCAGCATCGCCCCGACCTTCGTACAATATGTAACATCTGTTCAAACAAACTTCGCGAAGCCCCGACCATCAACGAGCGAGTCGTGCAGTCCAGTAATTCCATCCCGAAGCCCCGATCATGTCAAAGATCGAGTCGTTCAATCCAGCAATCCCTCAAGAAGAGGTTGATCGGCTTTGGAGACAGCTTCGACACGCGCGTACCTAAAGATCCTATCGTTCCTAATGCCGGAGAAGATTACGGTTAACGTTTCTGCTATCTACCGTCAGTGCATCAACTAACTTACGCTAGGGCCGTCCATTGAATGGATCCACAAGCTATACAATATCTGGGTGAATGACTACAGCTGGTCCGCCGCTGTAGAGAGGATTAACTTATAGCGCCACTATACAACCGAACTAGAGGGCCTCCGCATCCACTTCGTGCACGAGCGCGTAGATACCTTATCGACCTCTAAGCCCCCTATACCTCTTCTTCTGGTGCACGGCTGGCTAGGCAGCTTCTACGAGGTCGTACACGTCATCCGACCACTCACAAATCCATCGCCGTCGGACTAAGCCTTCGACGTCGTCATACCTTCAATGCCGGGCTACTACTAGTCGTAGGGGCCGCCGCGCGGTTTTACGCTGCAGGACACTACCTATATATTCGATTAGCTCATAAAGCGGCTCGGATACGCTAAGTACGTTGCGCAAGGCGGATACTGGGGGCACTGGGTGATGAGGGAGCTTAGAGTATAGCATAGTGAATCCTGCGTCGCCTTACATATACATATATACCTAACCGCGCCGCCTCTAAGCGAGGAGCCTAACGAGCGGGAGAAAATCGGCGAAGAATAGATAAAGTGGTTCCTGGGCAAGCCTGGTAACGAAACCTATATGGCCTACGCTATCGCGATGCGTACACGGCCACAGACGATAGGCATTACTTTCTCTAACAACCCTATTGGTATTATAATGTGGGTGGGCGAGAAGTATAACGAGATCATAACCTATCGCTTAAGGACCTATAGAACGAGCGGTTTAATAACGATATTCTCACGATAATCTACTTATACTACTTCACTAGTCCTAGTATCATGACTAGTATGCTGTCATACTATAATAATGTGCGGTATAAACGGTATATCGAATTTGATTTAAAGGAGGAAAACTATATTAAATGTCCGTTCGCATTCTTGAGCTTTAGATGGGATATTGGACCCACGAGCGAGCGAGCCGTCGCGAGGACGGGCAACTTGAAGTGGTACAAGTGTGAGTCTCCCACTGGTTCGTACCGCACACGCCAGAGCACTAGTTCACAAGCTACAGGGAGGGACTATGGCGGGCACTTTGCTGCACTGGAAAGTCCTGATGAGCTTGTCTCTGATCTCCGGGAGTTCTTCCCTCAGTGGTACACAAATGAGCCGTCACGCTCGTAGACCCTTGAACGCACAGCCTGGAGGACGAGCTCACAGAAGAACAAGCACGAAATCACGTTTGCATAGTAGATATGCCTAAGGTTGTCGTGTGACTGGGGTAGCATGCAGCCGCAATGACCACGGTGATATGAGCCAAGCAGCTACGTGAGTCCGTTAACTATGCCATTTTGACCCTCCGACTTGTTGACGACAGAACGCCCGGTAAGCCAGTGCTCATATGGGTTTGGGTAAAACAGTCGATCGTCCTTCAACGCCTCCGCCGCATGGCAAGCCCAGTACGGATCTCTCAACATCGCCCTTCCGATAGTAACCATATCCGCCACGTTGCTCTTCACGATCTCGTTTGCTTCTTCGGGGGTTTCAATCCCAAAATTTGCACCTGTAGCAATTCCAGCCTCTTCACGGACACGCTTGATCAGCAGGACATGCATCAGTGGAGAAAGCTGCCGATTGAGCTTGAAGTGCCCGATGCCGCCGGAGCTGCCATCCACAAGATCCACGCCGGCTTGCTGGAGTTTCGACGATAGGGCAACTGCCTCTTCGAATGTCCAGCCACCTTCGACCCAATCCGAGAGCGCAATGCGGGCAAAAAGAGGTTTGTGTGGAGGCCACACCTCACGCACCGCCTCTGCCGTTTCAAGCAGGAAGCGGATCCGGTTGTCAAATGAGCCGCCGTACTCGTCGTCCCGTTGGTTGGAGAGTGGAGAGTAGAACTGTTGGAAGACGTAGCCCCAAGCCGCGTGAAACTCAACAACGTCCGCGCCGAGCTTGTCTGCACGAAGAGCAGCATCAACAAAGCCTTGCTGAACCCGTCGAATGTCGCCGATGGACATCTCCGTGCGAACCTGGCCGCGAGTGCCCCCATAGGCAATCGGCGAGGGCCCAAACGTCTGCCACGGTCGTTCATTTGGGCCCAGAGCCCTTCCTTCACCGAGCGGCTGCCCTCCGCGCCAAGGAATGGTTGTCGATCCCTTCCGCCCCGAATACCCGAGCTGGAAACCAAAGGCGGCGCCCTGAGCATGTACAAAGTCGGCAATGCGCGCGAGCGGCTTGATGTGCTCATCGGACCACAAGCCAAGGTCACCTGCGGAGATCCGGCCTTCCTCGAGCACGGCCGTGTCTTCTGTGAGGATCAATCCGGCACCACCTACGGCACGGGATCCAAGGTGCACGAAGTGCCAATCGTTGGGAAATCCATTTGTGGCAGAGTACATGCACATTGGAGACAGCATAGTCCTGTTGCGGATGGTTATACCGCGGATTGTAATGGGATCGAATAACGACGCCATGCTGAGACGCGCTGGAGAGTGAAGGCGGATCTATTGGCCCATTGACTTGATTGTGAAGTAGCGAACAAGGATAGCGAGAGAGGGCAGACCAAATGATAATAAATATACCCTATGCTTTCTGATTTTAAAAGTCCGAAGTCTTGAGAGATGGCGCTTATTCAGCCGATGCATGTCGCTGACACTGCTGACTCAGGGGTTAAGAAGTGTCACAGTACGGGCCACTGTAGCGAGGAAAGTAGTTTAGTTGTGCATGTTCCTCCTGCAGAGGAACGACAACTTGTGATGCTAGATAACCAAGCGAGCTTTTCCAGAACCTGATCTACGCAACACCTTGAGCCGCCATCCTTGTCCCTGCATCGGTGTCAAAGCACACTAATCGACACATCGCTCAGCGTGATAGATCATCCGTCGCAACAACAGTCAGGGTCCACGTTGTTAGCCGTGGACACCGAGCGGAAAGCTGCAAAATCAGCGTGGTTTGGCATCCGCCCGCCGTGCTCTGATCCCAAACATTTTCACGGACAGAGAAGGCGTACAAATATACATATAGCTCCCAGCTCCTAGACAGGCCTGTATTCTGTCTTCCTTGTTCACCTCGTGGCCAATCATGTATCTACCAATCCTATGGTTTCTATTCCTCCAGCTTTGCTTTGCTTTAACTGTCCCCAAGAAGCCTTCTTCAGATGTCATCAAGCCAGCTGTAGATCCTGCGAAATCTCTCGAAAGGAAGTCATATCGAAGTCGATATTGGAGCTGTACCGCTTGCGTCAGTAAAGACTTTAAAGCCTACGATTGGTCTCCCAAGCCTGCTGACACCGCAGAAAGTGTGCCGGACTGTCCACTCTTTTCCCCGGTAAAGTCAAGTACTTTAACGATACCGTGTATGCTGAGCAGCAGCAATCATACTGGTCACAGCAGCAGCAGCAGACGTATCCTGTGTGCAGATTCACTCCGGCTGAGGCGCGCGAGGTATCGGCTGCCATTCACTTGGTACGCGCTACCCAATGTCGATTTGCAGTAAAGAGCGGTGGCCACGCTTCCTTTGAGGGCGGCTCGAACATTCAGAATGGCCTTGCAATAGACTTAAGCGGACTGTCGGCCTTGAAGCTCTCGAACGACAGCTCCATCCTGTGTGTAGGCCCTGGTAACCGATGGGAGGATGTGTATGCTTTCCTCGACCCGCTGGACCTTTCAGTTGTTGGTGGCAGGAATGGAGATGTTGGCGTCGGAGGGCTGACGCTCGGCGGCGGCATCTCGTATTTTTCAGGCTTCTATGGTAACATTTCGCTATTCCTCCCTTGTAAGACTGCTCTACATCCGCTCGCTAACTTCAACAGGGTGGGCTCTAGACAATGTTGCAAATTATGAGGTCTGACACAATGCATACCGACCAAGCAGAGGCTGACGGACAGTCAGGTTATCATCGCTAACGGGTCGATTGTCAACGCTAGCCTTACGTCACATCCTGACCTGTACTTTGCGTTGCGCGGAGGAGGAAATAACTTTGGTATCATCACCAGATTTGACTTTGAGACCTTCCCGCACGGTGATATGTGGGGTGGCCAGATCTTTTACCCATTCTCAACCAATCAGTCACAATTCGAGGCGTTCTACTGGTGGGCTGAAAACGCCAACTTAGACGCAAACGGTGCACTCATCCTTGCAGCCGCCAGTGTTCCAGGGTACGGGTCGTTCTTCTCAAACGGCTTTGTGTACGCCTGGCCTGTGATGAGTCCGCCATTATTCGACAACTTCACTGCCATTACAAATTTCTCATCAACCGCCCGCTTGACACGGCTACCTGATCTCGTTGCTGAGTTGACAGGCTCGCAGCCCCCTGGGTTTCGGTATGCGCCACTTGCTCAGCCGAACTAGCACCACTGTTGATTGTGTATCCAGGCAGGTTTATATTACCGCGACTTTCAAGAATGATATCCAAATGATGAGTGATATCTTCAAGATCTGGAACGACGCTGTCCAGCCTATTTTTGAAGACATTGCTGGTTTCGTCCCTGCCCTGGCATTTCAGCCTATCACTGCGAAGATCATCGAAAACTTCAGCAAGAATGGTGGTAATGCGCTGGGTATCAGTCCGGAAGACGGCTCCCTCACGTGTAGGACAAGTAGCCTTATCGTAAGGGATCTGTGCTGATTGTTCGCTCGATAGTATGGAACATGGACTTTCAATGGAGCGACAGAAGGAACGACTCTATCGTACTTGACATGATTCAGAACATCATCGCCGAGGGGAACGCAGTCGCCAAGTCTTGTGGGCTGTTTCACCGATACATCTATCAAAATTATGCATACATCACTCAGGATGTGTTCGCCGGGTACGGCGAGGAAAATAAGGCCAGACTTCTCCGGATTTAGAAGATGTATGATCCGCAGAAAATCTTTGTGAAGTTGCAGCCCATTCTGATATCTTTCTCGCTGCTTGCCTCGGTCGCGACTTCACAACGTCTCACCTTGATAATCTCGCAATTCATTAAGCGCAAACTGTTAAACGCGTAGCTTATTTAACTCGCGGGAACTGCCTCCTGCGCGCCTGTATGTGGGTTCCAGTTGATGTTCGTTGGTTGCGGTTGAACCCCAAGCTGCCCAAACGCTGAAGCGGTCTTAAGTTTAGTGAAACTGAAGAAACACGGGTTCTTCTAGACTTGCAGAGGTTGTTCTCGATTAATGCATATATCTACTGTCATGTTAAGAAGTTCTGACGCGATGTCACGAACAACGGCCGGTGGGGTGCGGAACAGGAACGATCAGTGCCAAGCATCACGTGTAAGACTGATCACTGAGAGAACGCCAAGAATGTAATTAGGGTGATCTGGGCGTCGGCGCCGGGCGCTCAAACAAGTATATAGGCGGCACTGTTTCTCGTTCGTTAGAACGGTGAGCTCAACTCAAATAAAAATCTAGCATTCTTTGTAGCTTGGAATAATCTCGCTTGTGATATCGATCCTCACCTTGTTGACAATACCTTGGCACTGCTCCCTTTCTCCTTAATCAGGACCCCAACCGTTACAGACCTACTTGCATGCTATTTGCAGTCCGTCCTGCGCTAGAATTATAACACAATACTATTCAATCTACCTGCCTAGCTGTGTTTTGCAATTTGCTAGCGTCTCTTCAGCTGTATATGACACAGGAACGGCTCTGTTAGATTATCTATATATTCCTCTCCGAATTGGGTTCGAAGGTAATCGATCTTGTACCAGTATTTTTTCTCGTCATCTGGCCAGTCCGCATCTTCTAGATAGTGGTTTACACAGACGTAGTCGACCGATTTTCCCGCATATATATGGACACCGCTAATGCTTAAGTTTGCGAGGTTTCTCCCTTCTAGGTACTCTTTATCTCCGAGTAGGAGGATCTCTGCTGGGGGACGACACCTAGGACACACTTCTATATCTCGTCTGTATTCGAAGTGGAAAGCGTGTTTACTATAATGCGCTGGCCAGACGGACTGGAAGGCGGCGTAACTATCTCTACAGATAATATAGTCTCCCCCTAGCTCTAGCTATATGCGCCATTCTTCTGCGAAGGTGTCGGTCGCGATAACTAGAGACAGAACCTCGTCATCCTTTAAAACGAACTAATTATTAAGTTTTTCTTGGTCTGCAAGATTCTCGATGGCTCGTCGATAGCTGGCTGGGTCCAAGAGTTTCACCAATTGTAGACGCTTCGCCACTTCTATTACTATAAGCGTATCCTAGAAGTGATAGAACTCTCCGAATAGGGCTATACTAAAGAGCGCCCTAATAAAGCCTTCAATAGAGAGCCTTTAACTAACTCTTATATAGTAGGTATAAGTAAGCGCGGGGGCTATCACTATAATTATTATAGTATATAGCGGTAAAGCGTAAGTGTGTATACACATATAAATGTGCGTGTGGTAGAGTTAGGAGAGGGCGTTAAGGGGTTAGCAGGTTTAATGGTTTTAAACTATAGTATAAGTGGTCCAGCCAGCGGGTCAGGGCTCGGGGCTGCGGGGGGTTTTTTTTTCCTTAGTTATCATTAATTAGAGGGAAAGAGAGAAAGAGTAAGCGAATTAGAGGGGAAGGAAAGAGAGGAAGGGGGCTGGGTGGGATTGGAAATGCAGTATTCAGTCAGGGATTCAACCAAATCAGGGCCGATTTTTGAAGGCATATCTGTCAGGATATACTTACCCCCTAGAGGCGGTTAAAGGTCTTAATCAAGCAAATTTGCCACCAATATAGTAATGTGGGTCTGCCTTCACTAGGCTGAGTATAACTAAAACGACCAGAGTGGCTTACTTTAGTCGCTCGAGAGGCGAGCTTAGTCGACATCATTTACTCGCCGGACGATAGCTAGCTGGGCCTCTCTGAAGGCTTAAACGGCTTCTGTGGGCTCCAGCGCTTTAATAATGACGACCCGTGATATGCTCGCCACGTCTGTGGAAGATACCAGGCAAGTATAATAAAGTATAATAATATTCTCTACTCCGATCGGTGCCACTTTCACCGCACCAAACTGCCTCCCATATTTAGAGACCTCAGTCAATCTGCATTGGCGTAGTGGTGCGGGACGTATACCGCTCGGCCAAGATTGATTCGTACTTAGAAGGTAGGAATACCTTGAACCCAAGACTAAGGCTTCGATTCCCAGCAAACAGCTCAAGCACCTTTCCAATTACTTCGTCCGTTTCCGTGCTAATTCAAGTAAGTGATCTTGGCCGCTCGTGAATCTGGGGAGATAATCACCGTCCGCTCTTAAAGTCTTTCATAATATCCAAGAACTCGTTGTACACATCTGGCTGGTCGGCATACTGGGCCTTTATTTGGTCAAGGTAGCTCAGCGCATCCTAGAGGCGCCTGGTTAAGTGAGGATCCTATATGCTCTTGCGAGAGTTCCTATACCTTCATGACTGATCCCACGCTCCGATCGTGCCGACTGTCTGCCGGTGAGTGAGGCTGGCGTTGGATGATATGGAGATTAGATGAATGTCCTTAGAAGCCAAATCACGGTATCGCGTGGGCCTTCAGATTCCCCAGGCCTGTAGTCAGAGACAGGAGGGAGCGGAGTATTATACGACGCAGTGATTTATCCGGCGGAATAAAGCCAGTGCTAACGCCGAGAGGCAGAGTCAGCGGAAGTTGTGAGAGGGGCTAGCAGGTGGGGCGCGCCGCGAGCTGACGCGTCTATATTTGCGGTTCGTCACTTGATGCTGCAAAGCCGTAAGGCAGCAAGATTGTAAATTGTACATTACTCTAGATTCGAACACATCGAGTCTACCTCAGGTGATTAATAACTTTTCATTCGCTGCTACTATTAGCTCGCTAAGTTAAGCGATCGTCTATTACTATACCACCACTAAAAGTTAAGTGACACGGGCACGTAATTGGAGCTAGGCAGCCGTCGCCTTTATAGCGATTATTTATTATTTCTTATATAGCCTAAATACGCGATGCGTTCCAGCATGGAATACTTAAGTAGTAGAATTCTTATATTTAATAGTACTAATTAGTAAAAATAGGAAAGTTATTAAAGTAATAATTATTTTAGATGCTATTAAAAAATTTCATAAATCAGAAATTTATTTATTATTAGAAGATTAAAATGAAAGAAAAAAAGGAATTATATAAACTTATTATACGTTATAAAATACTCTTAGTGTCTAATAAAAAGAAGATTATTTAAGAGATAAGGTCTTTAACTTACAATTGTTATATAAAGATGAAAAATGCTTACTTTTGTATTATCTAAATAGATTTAAATGTTGGATTTAGATTACCTTAATTATAAATATTTAATTCTTAGATAAATTACAAAAATAGTGCTATAAAATGGAATAAGAATAACTATTAGAATTATAGAAAATCTCTAAAAAAGCGCATGTTACTAGCTATATGCTCCCCACCCCTCTAGCATCCCCTCAGCGAATGCATATGCGCTTCCTCCTCCTCCTACATTATCCAGCACGCCACGCACCCGTCCGCCAGCTCGTCCAACACCTTCCGTACCTGCTGCTATTCCTCTGCCGCCTCCACCTGTGACATCTACCAATCCCTTACCCCTTCCCCGCATCGATCGTAGAGCGCCATATCCATATGCGAGCACTCCGTCTCTTGCCCATCTAGATACCCGCTCATCACCCCTCGCCGGCAGCCGTCCGCCTCGATAAACGCCGCTATCGCCGCCTCGTCGATCATCCATTCCCCCTAACCTCTCCGCTGCGTCGCCCCTTCCTCCACCAGTATCGTCGAGTCTACTGCCTCCCCCGCCTGTCCGGCACGGCCCGACTCTTGCGCGAAGTCGATCATCCCGCACGGCACCCCCACGTGGGAGCACGAACACGATCCCGGGGTAGTCCACCCCCGTGCCCAGCGCCGAAGTCGCCGCTATCAAGCCTCCCTTTTCCAATCACGCTACCGACACGCAATCACTGCTGCTGCCCCAAACGCACGCGCTCCGTCAACTCTCTGTCCTCAATCGCGGTCCGGATGCTGACTGCCTCACCGTAAAACTGCCTCCACGCTCCCTCGCTGCTCATGCTGACTGCCACGGGGCTGCCTGCCCCTTGTTTGGTCGGCGTAGTCGAGAGTCCTCTTCTACCAGCAGCAGTGAACAAGTGCTCGTGCCAGAAGAGTATGGCCATAAAGTCACCACAATCGACTTGAACGACTTGGAGTCCAGCGCCGGCAAGGTGGGCGCGAGATTCTTAATCGGTATATAGTCCATTACAAGGTCGGCTTAGCTATAGCGATTGCGACACCGTTTTTTGCCCAGCGGCCACCCTTTACGGAAAGCAGAATGTGCTGGAAGCGATTTAGAGGATGTAGAAGTACACTTAATGCCTAATAGCTGTGGGCAACAAGGCGTACAAAAGTATGAAACGCCTGGTTTGAGTGGCTTCTCTTCCCTAAGAAGTGGGTAGCAGCACGACCATATCTTAGCTTTCTCTGCAGCGAGAAAGAAAAGACGCAGCTGGCGGGCCCGCTTCCAAGGGAACGTAGCCTGCCGAGAAAGTTGTACACCCCCACTATCTTCGTCTAGGCACTTTTGTGCGGCGTTTATGCAACTCTGACCAGGGAGTAGAGACAATGATGCCCCTGAGGCAGCCAGCGTGTAAAGGTTACCTACCAGTCTTTCGCGGAGGGAAGCCACCGTAGTAGTCATCATAGCCGCCTGATTCAACTCAGAGTCACCGCTCATTGGTAGTGGATTCTAGAGAGAGGCCGGCGCCCCCTCCTTGTCGTCAAACAAATGGAACCCCCTGTTGTAGTCCAGGTAGTGGCTGGCCGGTGCTGATTGCTTGATTGCTGGCTGTAGCTTAACGAGGGCGCGTTCTGTGTGTTCTACTGTGGTAGCCTTGTTGCCTTGCAATCTCCCCTTCAATACAATGAACCCCT